AATAAAAGAAGAGCATGTGCTTTCATGGGGAAACGCTCAAACATTCATACTTGGGGCAAAATGTTGAAATGCTATAGCTCCCCACCCCTTTGGATTTTCGACTTGAGAATTGCGGTGCAGGCTCTAGATGGGCATGCACTAACCAGCCATGCAAAAAAAAAAAAGGGCTTAGGGCATGCAGAGTAGCTGGGAAAAAAAAAAAAAAGAGCATGTGCTTTTCATGAGGAAACGCTCAAACATTCATACTTGGGGGCAAATGTTGAAATGCTATAGCTCCCCACCCCTTTGGATTTTTCGACTTGAGAATTGCGGTGCAGGCTCTAGATCGCACGCACTAACCAGCCATGCAAAAAAAAGGGCTTAGGGCATGCTGAGTAGCTGGGAAAAATAAAAGAAGAGCATGTGCTTTCATGGGGAAACGCTCAAATACTCATACTTGGGGCAAATGTTGAAATGCTATAGCTCCCCACCCCTTTGGATTTTCGACTTGAGAATTGCGGTGCATGCTCTAGATGGCATGCACTAACCAGCCATGCAAAAAAAAAGGGCTTAGGGCATGCTGAGTAGCTGGGAAAAATAAATGAAGAGCATGTGCTTTCATGAGGAAATGCTCAAACATTCATACTTGGGGTAAATGTTGAAATGCCATAGCTCCCCACCCCTTTGGATTTTCGACTTCAGAATTGCGATGCAGGCTCTAGATGGCATGCACTAACCAGCCATGCAAAAAACAAGGGCGTAGGGCATGCTGAGTAGCTGGGAAAATAAGAAGAAGAGCATGTGCTTTCATGGGGAAACGCTCAAACATTCATACTTGGGGCAAATGTTGAAATGCTATAGCTCCCCACCCCTTTGGATTTTCGACTTGAGAATTGCGATGCAGGCTCTAGATGGCATGCACTAACCAGGCCATGCAAAAAACAAGGGCTTAGGGCATGCTGAGTAGCTGGGAAAAATAAAAGAAGAGCATGTGCTTTCCATGGGGAAACGCTCAAACATTCATACTTGGGGCAAATGTTGAAATGCTATAGCTCCCACCCCTTTGGATTTTCGACTTCAGAATTGCGGTGCAGGCTCTAGATGGCATGCACTAACCAGCCATGCAAAAAACAAGGGCTTAGGGCATGCTGAGTAGCTGGGAAAAATAAAAGAAGAGCATGTGCTTCATGGGGAAACGCTCAAACATTCATACTTGGGCAAATGTTGAAATGCTATAGCTCCCCACCCCTTTGGATTTTCGACTTGAGAATTGCGGTGCAGGCTCTAGATGGCATGCACTAACCAGCCATGCAAAAACAAGGGCTTAGGGCATGCTGAGTAGCTGGGAAAAATAAAAGAAGAGCATGTGCTTTCATGGGGAAACGCTCAAACATTCATACTTGGGGCAAATGTTGAAATGCTATAGCTCCCCACCCCTTTGGATTTTCGACTTGAGAATTGCGGTGCAGGCTCTAGATGGCATGCACTAACCAGCCATGCAAAAAACAAGGGCTTAGGGCATGCTGAGTAGCTGGGAAAAATAAAAGAAGAGCATGTGCTTTCATGGGGAAACGCTCAAACATTCATACTTGGGGCAAATGTTGAAATGCTATAGCTCCCCACCCCTTTGGATTTTCGACTTGAGAATTGCGGTGCAGGCTCTAGATGGCATGCACTAACCAGCCATGCAAAAAACAAGGGCTTAGGGCATGCTGAGTAGCTGGGAAAAATAAAAGAAGAGCATGTGCTTTCATGGGGAAACGCTCAAACATTCATACTTGGGGCAAATGTTGAAATGCTATAGCTCCCCACCCCTTTGGATTTTCGACTTGAGAATTGCGGTGCAGGCTCTAGATGGCATGCATAACCAGCCATGCAAAAAACAAGGGCTTAGGGCATGCTGAGTAGCTGGGAAAAATAAAAGAAGAGCATGTGCTTTCATGGGGAAACGCTCAAAACATCATACTTGGGGCAAATGTTGAAATGCTATAGCTCCCCACCCCTTTGGATTTTCGACTTGAGAATGCGGTGCAGGCTCTAGATGGCATGCACTAACCAGCCATGCAAAAAAAAGGGCTTAGGGCATGCTGAGTAGCTGGGAAAAAAAAAGAAGAGCATGTGCTTTCATGAGGAAACGCTCAAACATTCATACTTGGGGCAAATGTTGAAATGCTATAGCTCCCCACCCCTTTGGATTTTCGACTTGAGAATTGCGGTGCAGGCTCTAGATGGCATGCACTAACCAGCCATGCAAAAAAAAGGGCTTAGGGCATGCTGAGTAGCTGGGAAAAATAAAAGAAGAGCATGTGCTTTCACTGGGAAACGCTCAAACATTCATACTTGGGGCAAATGTTGAAATGCTATAGCTCCCCACCCCTTTGGATTTTCGACTTGAGAATTGCGGTGCAGGCTCTAGATGGCATGCACTAACCAGCCATGCAAAAAAAAAGGGCTTAGGGCATGCTGAGTAGCTGGGAAAAATAAAAGAAGAGCATGTGCTTTCATGGGGAAACGCTCAAACATTCATACTTGGGGCAAATGTTGAAATGCTATAGCTCCCCACCCCTTTGGATTTTCGACTTGAGAATTGCGTGCAGGCTCTAGATGGCATGCACTAACCAGCCATGCAAAAAAACAAGGGCTTAGGGCATGCTGAGTAGCTGGGAAAAATAAAGAAGAGCATGTGCTTTCATGGGGAAACGCTCAAACATTCATACTTGGGGCAAATGTTGAAATGCTATAGCTCCCCACCCCTTTGGATTTTCGACTTGAGAATTGCGTGCAGGCTCTAGATGGCATGCACTAACCAGCCATGCAAAAAACAAGGGCTTAGGGCATGCTGAGTAGCTGGGAAAAATAAAAGAAGAGCATGTGCTTTCATGGGAAACGCTCAAACATTCATACTTGGGGCAAATGTTGAAATGCTATAGCTCCCCACCCCTTTGGATTTTCGACTTGAGAATTGCGGTGCAGGCTCTAGATGGCATGCACTAACCAGCCATGCAAAAAACAAGGCTTAGGGCATGCTGAGTAGCTGGGAAAAATAAAAGAAGAGCATGTGCTTTCATGGGGAAACGCTCAACATTCATACTTGGGGCAAATGTTGAAATGCTATAGCTCCCCACCCCTTTGGATTTTCGACTTGAGAATTGCGGTGCAGGCTCTAGATGGCATGCACTAACCAGCCATGCAAAAAACAAGGGCTTAGGGCATGCTGAGTAGCTGGGAAAAATAAAAGAAGAGCATGTGCTTTCATGGGAAACGCTCAAACATTCATACTTGGGGCAAATGTTGAAATGCTATAGCTCCCCACCCTTTGGATTTTCGACTTGAGAATTGCGGTGCAGGCTCTAGATGGCATGCACTAACCAGCCATGCAAAAAACAAGGGCTTAGGGCATGCTGAGTAGCTGGGAAAAATAAAAGAAGAGCATGTGCTTTCATGGGGAAACGCTCAAACATTCATACTTGGGGCAAATGTTGAAATGCTATAGCTCCCCACCCCTTTGGATTTTCGACTTGAGAATTGCGGTGCAGGCTCTAGATGGCATGCACTAACCAGCCATGCAAAAAAACAAGGGCTTAGGGCATGCTGAGTAGCTGGGAAAAATAAAAGAAGAGCATGTGCTTTCATGGGAAACGCTCAAACATTCATACTTGGGGCAAATGTTGAAATGCTATAGCTCCCCACCCCTTTGGATTTTCGACTTGAGAATTGCGGTGCAGGCTCTAGATGGCATGCACTAACCAGCCATGCAAAAAAAAAGGGCTTAGGGCATGCTGAGTAGCTGGGAAAATAAAAGAAGAGCATGTGCTTTCTGGGAACGCTCAAATTCATACTTGGGGCAAATGTTGAAATGCTATAGCTCCCACCCCTTGGATTTCGACTGAGAATTGCGTGCAGCTCTAGATGGCATGCACTAACCAGCCATGCAAAACAAGGGCTTAGGCATGCTGAGTACTGGGAAAATAAAAAAGCATGTGCTTTCTTTGTGATGTCATCATATGCTATCACATTCTGTCTGCCTCCCATCCCATATTTTTCAACTTGCATGTGTGGTTTGAACGTGTGCAAGAATTTGTGTGTGATGTGTTCTGGAGTTTGGGAATGTGTTTTGTGTTATTTTGTTTGAGCAGGTTTTTTGTGATGATAGATCTTGAGAAGATCTTTCCGACGCAACGAGAATCCCTTCAATCGGAGCAAGAACGCGAAAGCTATGAAGATTCAAAGTTCATGAGCTTGCGTTACAATTGCGGCGGTTACAAAGTGAAGTTGTGGGGTGACTTTATATGGAGTTGGGACCTTTGGGTTGGGTAAACTTGTCACTCTACTGTAACAGCTGCAAATAGGTTGGGAACAACCAAGCTAGGTTGGCAAGGGTGGCCAACTTGGATGGATTGGTTGGGAAGGGACAAAGGTCAAAGTTGAGGTTCCTATAGGGAGGGAATCTTTGTGCTTATGGGGTTTCCTTGGTTGGGGACTCTCTTGGGACCTTCCCTCTCATCCCTCTCTTCTATCCCAACCTTTCTCTTGCTCCTCTAATTCCTTGTGAGATTCTTGAACTTTGATTGAACTTTGAGATTGAGTTAAGTTCTCCTCCTACAGCTTACCCCTAATGCGTCGAAAGCCATAGCGTCGCGAATACTTCATCAATCAACATGATTCAAATTGGGAACGGTAGCTGAGATTAAGAGCTACAACATATCCAAGTTTCGCGACATTCCAACGGCTAGTTTTTGTCGACGTCGTTTCTTGTGAAGACGACTTTTCTGTCCAGAATTTCGGATTTATATTTTGAGTAATTCTAGCTCCTAAGTTCACCTAGACTCCGTCCTTAATCCTAACAAGTGGTATCAGAGCATATTAAGGACATTGAGAGGAGTCTACAGAAGTTTGAAGACCCTTCTAGACCCACCATGGCTGTGGGTGTGCCTAAGTGGTGTTCTAAAGGTTGGATGTGTCTTCCGCTAAGGGGAAACTCTGCCGAAATTTCGTGGACGCCGACACTTGTGAAAATATCGAGGGAGCTGAGTGTGGACAGCAAAGGGGAGCTGAAATTCGTCATTTCTCAAGGAGAAGATGAATGAGAGAGGAGGAGATGCTAATGGAAGAGGAGCTGTAGCTGAGAAGGCAAGTGAGCCGCCGCCATCAAAAGTTGAAGCTTTGGATGGCTCCAACTATGAGGAATGGAGCGGGCGGATGAGGAGTGCCTTCAAACGCTACAAGCTACTGAAGATTGCTGTTGGGGAAGAGAAGATGCCGGAAGAAGGCGAAGCACGCGAACGGTGGATTGAGAAAAGCGCGGTGCTTTTCGACCTCATCCTTCAATCGGTCAACAAGGAGATGTTCGAGCACATCAAGGATCTTGTGGAAGCGGATGATTCGGGTCCAAGGGCGTGGAAACTACTACGTGATGTGATTCAGCCCAACACTCTCCCAATGGTGATCGTGCTCGAGAAGGAACTTGCTGCCATCTCCATGCGACCAGGGGATGATGTGAAGCCGGTCCTTGACAAGATCAAGGACACCTATGCATGGATGGCAGCAGCGGCAGCAGTGTATCTCAGCTGCAGCAGTGCACCAAGATCATCTCGGTGTTGGACAACTCTTGGGACAACCTCATCCCCACCCTCAACTCTCAGCAAGATCAATGGACACCTGAGTGGCTAAGGCAGCAGATTCTGCAGGAGGACTTCCGCAGACGCCATGTGGGAGGCGGTGCTGCCACTAAGACTGCTGAGGGGTATGGAGCTGCAGGGCGCAGCAGAGGAAGAGGGGGTTGGAAGGCCGAGGCCGTGGGAGAAGCTTTGGCAGAGGTAGAGGCCGAGGTGACTATAATGAGGGGCATGGGAGCTCCAGTGGCAGGGGAGTACCAGAATGGAGGGCACCTGCTGGTACTGCAAGAAGGTCGGGCATCCTTGGTTCAAGTGCTTCAGCAGGCTGGAGGGATGGTCACCTCCAGGCATGAAGCCGCCAGTGGTGAACGCGCACAAGGTGGCGCTGTGCAAGGCTCAGGTGCACAAGGTGAAGGTGCACAAGGTAACGCCTATCCTGGATGTATCTCATGGTTGAGGATGTGCATGGGCATGAGGGTGATGTGGATCTGTGGGAAAGGTTGTGATGCACCCTCTCACGCACTGGGTGATTGATTCAGGTTGCACCAGTCACATGACCCCACGGGCAGATTTGCTTGATGAGGTAAAACCCCCTGGGAAGATCAAGTATGTGGCAGCAGCGTCAGGTGCTTTGCTCCCCGTGATTGGTGTTGGAATGCCAAGGTTAAGGGAGCTAATGGGGAGCTTGTGGGGCTTGGGAATGTTCTGCTGGTTGAAGGCTTGTCTGCTAACCTTCTCTCTGTGCGACGACTGCAGAAGAGCAAGGCCGAAGTGACCTTTGGACCAACCAGCTGCCGTGCTAAGCTTGGGAAGAAGGTGCTGTGGAGTCTGGAAGAGGAGACCAGCTGCATCAAGGACCTGTGGCAGCTGCCCATCATCCCTTGGAATGGGAAGACTCCAACAGCAGCAACGGCAGCAGCGGCAAAGGCAACAGCAGGAGGAGATGCAACTGCACCAACTGATGGGGTCCTGGAAGCAGTCAAGAAAGTGCAGCAGCAGCAGACACATGGTGAGGTGCTTGCTGGTGTGGATGCGAGTGCGGCATGGGCTAAGGCTTCATCAAGGAGTGGAGAGGCCGATTGGGAGACATGGCATGAGAGGCTGTGTCATGTGAACTTCCCTATGCTGCAGAAGTTGGTGAAGGATGGGAGCCTGAAGGCTTGGAGGTGAAAGGGGGAGTGAAGGAGATTGGGAGCTGCCCTACATGCTTGGAGACCAAGTTCTCCAAGTTCCCCTTCAACAGCACTACAGGACCAGCCAAGACCCCACTTGCACTTGTGCACATGGATGTGGTGGGGCCCACAAGAGCCCCTTCCCTCTCAGGCAGCCGCTATTTCTTGACAATTGTGGATGACCACACTCGGCAGTGTGGGTTTACCCTTTGAAGAGCAAGGGGGAGGTGGCAGCGGCTGTCCTTAAGGAGTGGATGCCTAGAGCTCAGAGGGAATGCGGATACAAGGTGAAGGTGATCCGCAGTGACAATGGTGGGGAGTTCATTGGAGCTGATTTTGAGGGGGAGTTGAAGAGGAAGGGGATCCAGCATCAACTGACAGTGCCCTACAACCCGCAGCAGAATGGCGTGGCTGAGAGGTTCAACAGGACCCTGCAGGAGGGGGCACGCACTCTCCTTGGGCGTGCAGGGCTGCCTGATCCGTTTTGGGTGTCTGCACTGAGGCAGGTCGCCCTTGTGAAGAACAGGGTGCTGGCTACAGTTGGAGATAAGGAGTGGATCCCATATGTCAAGTGGTATGGGAGTGCTCCAGCTGTGAACATGCTGAGGGCATTTGGGTGCATGGTGGTGTTTCATGTGCCTAAGGAGAAAAGGGGGAAGTTGGAGGCTTCTGGAAGATGGGGTGTGCACTTGGGGATTGCAAAGGATCACAAGGGGTGGCTGCTATGGGACTTGACCACCCAGAAGTTGACAGTGTCAAGGGATGTGAAGTTTCTTGAGTCCCTGTACTACAAGGAATGGAAGCAGCAGCAACAGAAGCTTCCATCTACACCGCTCATTGTGGAGGCAGATGAGGTGCAGCAGCCTTCAAGACAGGTGGAGGTTGCAGTGTCAGAGGAGGAGATGTCTGGGGTGACTGAGGAAGGGGGAGCAGCTGAAGTAGAGCAGCAGCAGCAGCAGCAGCATGAGTCTCCACCTCGAGTTCCACACCCGCCTGAGCGTCCTAGGAGGGATGTGCGCCCTCCAGTGAGGCTGACCTATGGGGGAAGAGGCAAGCCGAATGTGGTGCAGGCTGGGAGTGTGGTTGAGCAGATTGAGGAAGATGAGATCGCTCACTGCTACTGGGCACCAATCCCTGAGCCCAAGACTCGAGAGGAGGCTTGAATGGACCAAATGGGGAGAAGTGGAAGGCGAGTGAGGATGAGGAGTTCGGGTCCCTAATTGAGAACGAGACATGGGACCTGTGTGACTTGCCTCCTGGAAAGAAGGCAATCACTTCCAAGATGATCTACAGGCACAAGTATGGACCTGAAGGGGAGCTGACCCGCTACAAGTCTAGGCTTGTGGCACGGGGGTTTCAGCAGACAAAGGGGAAGGACTATGATGAGGTGTTTGCTCCTGTGGGGAAAGGAACAACACTGAGGGTGCTGTTGGCGATAGCTGCACTCCTGGGATGGAAGATACGGCAGATGGACATTGTGACTGCCTTTCTGAATGGGATCATTCTGGAGGAGGTGTACATGAAGCAGCCAGAGGGGCTGGATGATGGGAGCGGCAGGGTCTGCAGGCTGAAGAAGGCCATCTATGGCCTTAAGCAGGCGCCTCGTGCATGGTATCACAAGTTGGAGGAGGCGCTGCTGGCTGGGGGTTTCAAGAAGAGTGAGTGTGACCCCAGCCTGTTCCTGCTGCAGGAGAAGGATGAAATCCTCATGCTCTTGGTGTATGTGGATGATATCCTTCTCTTTCTGCATCAACTGCTTTGCTGGACAGCGCAGAGCAGATGCTGGAGATGCAGTTCAAGTGCTCCAAGATGGGTGAGGTGAAGTACTACTTGGGGATGCATGTGGAGAGAGATGTGGAAAGGGTGTGCTGAGGTTGCACCAGAGGAAGTACTGTGAGGGGCTGGCTGAGAAGTATGGGCTGCAAGATGGGGGAAAGCCAGCAACACCACTACCTTCAGGGTTTACTGTGGAGCCATGTGCTGATGAGGAGGTAGTGGGTGATAGTGACAGGAAGCTGTTTCATTCGATGGTTGGGTCGCTGAATTATGCTGCAAATCATACACGGCCTGACATTGCATTTGCTACATCACGGTTGGCTAGTGTGGTCTCACGCCCTAGTCATGAGCAGCTGGAAGCGGCCAAGAGGTTGGTCCGCTATGTGAGTGCTACGGCATCAGTGGGATTGGAGTACAGTGGAGTGAGGCAGCGGTTGCAGAGAGGTGCTGCAGATGTGAAGAGTGGAGAGATGCTCTTGAGTTGCTATACTGACGCTAGCTTCAACTCAGTGAAAGCGGATGGCACCAGCATTGGGGGTTATGTGTGCTTGCTAGGAGGTGGTGCTGTGAGCTGGCGCAGCAAGAAGCAGAATGAGGTGGGATTGTCCTCATGTGAGACTGAGTACATGGCCTTACACCATGGGGCCAAGGAAGTGGTGTGGCTGAGGCGTTTGTTGGAGGAGTTGGGAGTTGGTCAGGAGAAGCCGACAGTTGTGTTCTGTGACAATGAGTCCGCTGTGAAGCTCGCCAAGAATGCTTGTCTGCATGGGCTGACAAAACACATAAGGCCTAAGTGGCATTGGGTGAGGAGACTCCTTGATAAGGAGGTGCGGCTGGAGATAGTGAAGACCCATCAGCAGGCAGCAGATATTTTCACCAAGCGTCTGGCGGAGGCGGATCATTGGAAGGGCATGAAGCTTGCTGGGATGAGTGTGCATTGAGTATGCATGCTTGAGATGTGGTATGGTGGATGATGGTTGGCAGCCAGAGGGGGAGATTGTTGTGTGATGTCATCATATGCTATCACATTCTGTCTGCCTCCCATCCCATATTTTTCAACTTGCATGTGTGGTTTGAACGTGTGCAAGAATTTGTGTGTGATGTGTTCTGGAGTTTGGGAATGTGTTTTGTGTTATTTTGTTTGAGCAGGTTTTTGTGATGATAGATCTTGAGAAGATCTTTCCGACGCAACGAGAATCCCTTCAATCGGAGCAAGAACGCGAAAGCTATGAAGATTCAAAGTTCATGAGCTTGCGTTACAATTGCGGCGGTTACAAAGTGAAGTTGTGGGGTGACTTTATATGGAGTTGGGACCTTTGGGGTTGGGAAACTTGTCACTCTACTGTAACAGCTGCAAATTGGTTGGGAACAACCAAGCTAGGTTGGCAAGGGTGGCCAACTTGGATGGATTGGTTGGGAAGGGACAAAGGTCAAAGTTGAGGTTCCTATAGGGAGGGAATCTTTGTGCTTATGGGGTTTCCTTGGTTGGGGACTCTCTTGGGACCTTCCCTCTCATCCCTCTCTTCTATCCCAACCTTTCTCTTGCTCCTCTAATTCCTTGTGAGATTCTTGAACTTTGATTGAACCTTTTGAGATTGAGTTAAGTTCTCCTCCTACAGCTTACCCCCTAGTGCGTCGAAAGCCATAGCGTCGCGAATACTTCATCAATCAACATGATTCAAATTGGGAACGGTAGCTGAGATTAAGAGCTACAACATATCCAAGTTTCGCGACATTCCAACGGCTAGTTTTTGTCGACGTCGTTTCTTGTGAAGACGACTTTTCTGTCCAGAATTTCGGATTTATATTTTGAGTAATTCTAGCTCCTAAGTTCACCTAGACTCCGTCCTTAATCCTAACACTTTCATGGGGAAACGCTCAAACATTCATACTTGGGGCAAATGTTGAAATGCTATAGCTCCCCACCCCTTTGGATTTTCGACTTGAGAATTGCGGTGCAGGCTCTAGATGGCATGCACTAACCAGCCATGCAAAAAACAAGGGCTTAGGGCATGCTGAGTAGCTGGGAAAAATAAAAGAAGAGCATGTGCTTTCATGGGGAAACGCTCAAACATTCATACTTGGGGCAAATGTTGAAATGCTATAGCTCCCCACCCCTTTGGATTTTCGACTTGAGAATTGCGGTGCAGGCTCTAGATGGCATGCACTAACCAGCCATGCAAAAAACAAGGGCTTAGGGCATGCTGAGTAGCTGGGAAAAATAAAAGAAGAGCATGTGCTTTCATGGGGAAACGCTCAAACATTCATACTTGGGGCAAATGTTGAAATGCTATAGCTCCCCACCCCTTTGGATTTTCGACTTGAGAATTGCGGTGCAGGCTCTAGATGGCATGCACTAACCAGCCATGCAAAAAACAAGGGCTTAGGGCATGCTGAGTAGCTGGGAAAAATAAAAGAAGAGCATGTGCTTTCATGGGGAAACGCTCAAACATTCATACTTGGGGCAAATGTTGAAATGCTATAGCTCCCCACCCCTTTGGATTTTCGACTTGAGAATTGCGGTGCAGGCTCTAGATGGCATGCACTAACCAGCCATGCAAAAAACAAGGGCTTAGGGCATGCTGAGTAGCTGGGAAAAATAAAAGAAGAGCATGTGCTTTCATGGGGAAACGCTCAAACATTCATACTTGGGGCAAATGTTGAAATGCTATAGCTCCCCACCCCTTTGGATTTTCGACTTGAGAATTGCGGTGCAGGCTCTAGATGGCATGCACTAACCAGCCATGCAAAAAACAAGGGCTTAGGGCATGCTGAGTAGCTGGGAAAAATAAAAGAAGAGCATGTGCTTTCATGGGGAAACGCTCAAACATTCATACTTGGGGCAAATGTTGAAATGCTATAGCTCCCCACCCCTTTGGATTTTCGACTTGAGAATTGCGGTGCAGGCTCTAGATGGCATGCACTAACCAGCCATGCAAAAAACAAGGGCTTAGGGCATGCTGAGTAGCTGGGAAAAATAAAAGAAGAGCATGTGCTTTCATGGGGAAACGCTCAAACATTCATACTTGGGGCAAATGTTGAAATGCTATAGCTCCCCACCCCTTTGGATTTTCGACTTGAGAATTGCGGTGCAGGCTCTAGATGGCATGCACTAACCAGCCATGCAAAAAACAAGGGCTTAGGGCATGCTGAGTAGCTGGGAAAAATAAAAGAAGAGCATGTGCTTTCATGGGGAAACGCTCAAACATTCATACTTGGGGCAAATGTTGAAATGCTATAGCTCCCCACCCCTTTGGATTTTCGACTTGAGAATTGCGGTGCAGGCTCTAGATGGCATGCACTAACCAGCCATGCAAAAAACAAGGGCTTAGGGCATGCTGAGTAGCTGGGAAAAATAAAAGAAGAGCATGTGCTTTCATGGGGAAACGCTCAAATACTCATACTTGGGGCAAATGTTGAAATGCTATAGCTCCCCACCCCTTTGGATTTTCGACTTGAGAATTGCGGTGCAGGCTCTAGATGGCATGCACTAACCAGCCATGCAAAAAACAAGGGCTTAGGGCATGCTGAGTAGCTGGGAAAAATAAAAGAAGAGCATGTGCTTTCATGGGGAAACGCTCAAACATTCATACTTGGGGCAAATGTTGAAATGCTATAGCTCCCCACCCCTTTGGATTTTCGACTTGAGAATTGCGGTGCAGGCTCTAGATGGCATGCACTAACCAGCCATGCAAAAAAACAAGGGCTTAGGGCATGCTGAGTAGCTGGGAAAAATAAAAGAAGAGCATGTGCTTTCATGGGGAAACGCTCAAACATTCATACTTGGGGCAAATGTTGAAATGCTATAGCTCCCCACCCCTTTGGATTTTCGACTTGAGAATTGCGGTGCAGGCTCTAGATGGCATGCACTAACCAGCCATGCAAAAAAAAAGGGCTTAGGGCATGCTGAGTAGCTGGGAAAAATAAAAGAAGAGCATGTGCTTTCATGGGGAAACGCTCAAACATTCATACTTGGGGCAAATGTTGAAATGCTATAGCTCCCCACCCCTTTGGATTTTCGACTTGAGAATTGCGGTGCAGGCTCTAGATGGCATGCACTAACCAGCCATGCAAAAAACAAGGGCTTAGGGCATGCTGAGTAGCTGGGAAAAATAAAAGAAGAGCATGTGCTTTCATGGGGAAACGCTCAAACATTCATACTTGGGGCAAATGTTGAAATGCTATAGCTCCCCACCCCTTTGGATTTTCGACTTGAGAATTGCGGTGCAGGCTCTAGATGGCATGCACTAACCAGCCATGCAAAAAAACAAGGGCTTAGGGCATGCTGAGTAGCTGGGAAAAATAAAAGAAGAGCATGTGCTTTCATGGGGAAACGCTCAAACATTCATACTTGGGGCAAATGTTGAAATGCTATAGCTCCCCACCCCTTTGGATTTTCGACTTGAGAATTGCGGTGCAGGCTCTAGATGGCATGCACTAACCAGCCATGCAAAAAACAAGGGCTTAGGGCATGCTGAGTAGCTGGGAAAAATAAAAGAAGAGCATGTGCTTTCATGGGAAACGCTCAAACATTCATACTTGGGGCAAATGTTGAAATGCTATAGCTCCCCACCCCTTTGGATTTTCGACTTGAGAATTGCGGTGCAGGCTCTAGATGGCATGCACTAACCAGCCATGCAAAAAACAAGGGCTTAGGGCATGCTGAGTAGCTGGGAAAAATAAAAGAAGAGCATGTGCTTTCATGGGGAAACGCTCAAACATTCATACTTGGGGCAAATGTTGAAATGCTATAGCTCCCCACCCCTTTGGATTTTCGACTTGAGAATTGCGGTGCAGGCTCTAGATGGCATGCACTAACCAGCCTGCAAAAACAAGGGCTTAGGCATGCTGAGTAGCTGGGAAAAATAAAAGAAGAGCATGTGCTTTCATGGGGAAACGCTCAAGATACTCATACTTGGGGCAAATGTTGAAATGCTATAGCTCCCCCACCCCTTTGGATTTTCGACTTGAGAATTGCGGTGCAGCTCTAGATGGCATGCACTAACCAGCCA